CGGAATTATAATTATTAGGAATTATGAATGTTCGGAATGTTCGAAAATCGGAATATTGTAAAACGGAACATAACAATTTTGGGTAAACTTAATTTTGGAATAAAAAAATTTCGGAAAAATGAAAATTCGGAATCCATAAAATTTCTAGCGGAAAATGTAGACTATAAAATCAAATTTTTTGTTACAAAATTTGGTTTTTCCAAATTTTTCATGTACTGTTTTCAATATTCTGATTTTCGAACATTGCGAATTTTACACATTCCGAATATTCATAATTCTTAATATTTATCATTCCGAAATTTGAACATGGCTCAAATTTTTTTAGGCTTTACAGAGAAAAATTTTTTTTCCTAAATTTTTCAAAAGTTTCTCACTCTGGAATATGCAAATTAAGGTCCTTGTCATCATAGAACCCTCCTCGATGAACCAAGCCTACAGTTCTGAGAGGTACACATATGCCGTAGGATCCAGCTAGAACCAATGATTCAATCATGGTCATAGGGGTGTCATTTTGTTCAGTAGATGGAAAACAATGACAAACGGAAGCACTTTCAGATATTTTAATCAATTATATACAATTTGACAGCCCTTTTATTTATTAATATAAGATGATAAAATGACAGATTATGCTAGGATATGGTCTGAAAAAGTGCTAATTTGGTCCAATACCTATGAAACTGCTTGAGTTTGTAGCCATTCTTATGTAGAACAACCTCTGAAAATTTCAGCTCATTTGATCAAACGGTTCACATGGAAAGTTACGGCACAGGTAATTTTAAGATGAAACGTTACTTTCCAGGAGTTGAATGATACAAAAATACCCCAATATATGTAATAAAATTAGTCTTAAGGGGACCGACCTGTGTTAAAAGCTTAAATTCAAAAAATAGCTATATTAATCGAAATAGTGGAAATTTTTTTTTTGTGATCGTAAAATATGTTTATTAGACACCTGATTGACCAAAAAAAATTCTATCCAAGCTCTGAAATGCCAATTACGCTTATTTTTTCATAATACAAAATATTATAATAGGATTCACTTGCCACGCGATTCTGACGTGAGCTTTTCATCAATATTGATCTATGGGGTCTCAAAATCTTCAGAAAAGTACCCTCATCCACTTAAGCGGAGCAGAATTTGAAAAAAAAAGTTTGTTTTTCTTCCAAGAGCTTTAACATGGCTTCTAGTGTTGATAAAATACTAATTTTCTCAAAAATTGGCACATTTTGACGTGTATATAAAGTTGGAGGCAATTTTTCAAAATTCTGCTCCGCTTAGGTGGACGAGAATACTTTTCTGAAGATTTTGAGACCCCAGAGATCAATATTCATGAAAAACTCTTTTCAAGATCATGCGGCAAGTGATTTATAACACAATATTTCGTCTTATGAAAAAAGTGATGTAATTGGTATTTCAGAGCTTGGGTAGAAGTTGTTTTTGGTCAATCTGGTGCAGAATGAACATATTTTACTATCACAAAAAAAAAATTTCCACTATTTCGATTCATATAGCTATTTTTAGCTGAAGCTGAATATAAGCTTTTAACACAGGTCGGTCCCCTTAAATCATTGAGGCCGTTTCAAACTTTTTGAGCAATGGAAAAACAGCAATTAAATATACATTTTCAACATATCCGACCCACAAGGAAAATTTTAACTTATTTTAGACAGCCGCACATAGTAAAATACGCCAAGTTTATCATAACATTTTATAAGTTTCACTTGAATGTTAGTACCCACTAGTCTTGGTTTCTTGTGGTGACTGGTGAGATGATAAAACTCACTTTTCACATGAATATGTAAAATTTCACATTAGAAATTGAATTATATTACTCATATTTATTACATTTTTTTTCTCTCTATCATTTGACACTGAAATTTTGATTGTAAATAAAACTAAAATCACTGAAAATATATCACTAATTTAACGAAATAATTGGTATCGAAAATTTTTCAATTAGTTAAAAAACAATGGTAACTGAATAATTCAATCATCGGTTACTACTTCAGAAAATAGTAACTGAATAATTCAATTATCAGTTACTAGTCAAGTAAGTCGTAAATGAATATTTCAACCATCAGTTACTACTTGAAAAACTAGTAAGTGAACACTTCAATTATGAATTACTATTTTAAAAAATCACAACTTAATTATTCAGTTGGCTGTTACGTGATTAGTAGCAGATAATTGAATAATTCAATTAGAAGTTACTAATGTAATAATTGATAAAATTTGCAACACTGTTTGAAAATGATTATTCATGACAATAACATGAATTTCTCAAATGTTATCTTCTTATAAAAAACTATGTTTAAATTTTGTAAAAGTTTATACTTTTTTTGGAAAATGTTTAATCCCTAAAGTTGATGTCAAATTTATTATGCTTACTCATCGCGCTTCGCTTGGCTTAAATTCTATATGCTATATTTCGCAACTTAGATACATCTATGAAAACCGAATTGCCCCAAAACTATTTATCCTATAAAGAATATTTTAACAATTCTTATAAAAGCATTAAGTAACGTTTAGACACGTTGTGCGCTCATTAATTGTTCAGTTGTGTTTCGAAAAAATTGATAATTCGACCGTAAATGTTGCTCTACTCATTTCAATCAAAAGCTGTTTTAAACGTCTTTGCTTTACTGTTCATCACTTTTTTTATAAAGAAAAAAAGAAAATCATATGAGATGTACGATTGAGTGAATTTTCAATTTTCCGATTGCAATTTGCTATCAAGCTTATGATGAGGTATTTTTCTCGTATATTCAACGGGTACTCTATGAATTTTCAACTGAAACACTCGTATGGCGCACAGATCAAGATTGAGTTAGCGAAAATACGTTTTATGGTTGTTTCCAAGTGACAAAGATCGTCTCGATGTCTCGTTCTTCCTTCCGGCGAGCTACTGCGTCGCCGATAAGCGTGTGAACTTTGCACCATCCGGACGTGATCCTGAAACTTCCATAATAATATATAACGTTAGGTTATAAATAGGTCTTACGTACAAAGATCGTCAGTTCGCCGCGAGAGCAGCGAATCATGCACGCCACACTTAATCCGTTAAAAGCTCAAGTCACGCGTACGTCGTTTTGAGGATTGCACACGATGTTACGTTCGAACGAACGGACGCTGTTAGGCAATTATACAATGAGCATAATTGAAGAAAGACTTGGCATAACGATGAAACACCTGAGCGAGATTCGGCAAACGAATCGCAAGATCCAAGGCGCGGGAAGTCGTGTGCTTGCGGCGTTTCCTTTGATAATACCAAGCGCTGCAGCGTGTACACGCTGCGCTTCGTTCGATTCGCTAACGGTGGCGCTGCCGTGACCTCTCGAATACATGGGGAAGTTGCAGGATGCATATAACCAGACCAAGGCACACTTGTACCTGCAGATAAAATTAATCATTAAAATTTAGTATTTACAAGCGTGTGTTGCATTTTAAGAGTATATGCAATGATAGTTTAGTTTTCGTATTTTTGAAATTTTCGAAATCGAACGTCACGACAAAAACCTTGAAAAAAGTTTAAATTTGATGCAACGCAAGCTAACACAACGTTCAGTGAGTATATAATTATCATCTTCAGCAGTGTCAACCTATATTTAATACAATTCGCAAAAGCCGAATATTCAAGAAAGTAACCGAAAAAAGTGCATACCCCATATGGAGTAGCGACGAGCTACGACAGTCGTAGGTCTGGCAGTGCAGGTGTAAGCATATATAATGCGTGTGGCAGTAGTGCCCATTGTGCGATATAATGCGTGTACGCGCGAGAGCCGCACGCGTGTTTATAAATATATATCTAATATAGCATACAGTGCAGAGCCCGCGCCGTATACACGTATAGAGAAAGAGAGGAATGAATTCGCGAACGCCAGTGTAGTGTACGTGCGTGTGTATGTGTGTATAGGGCGCAGAGAGCTCTAGTAGCAAGGAGGGGTTCATTCGGGGTATAAAGTGCGCGGGCGCGGGACTCTGCCGCCACCCGCCGCAGCAGCAGCAGCAGCAGCCGAGATAGATAGAGAAAGGTACACACAAGCCCACAGGCCGGGTTTACCGGCAGTTCTAACCGGTAAGCCGTGGAAAGAACACACTCGACTTTTTCCCAAGCGTTATACGCGCGAGCTTTCGTTCGTCCGTGTTGCCGCTGTTGTTCGTGTTTTTGCTCTCTCGCGTACTACTCCCCCTCTTCGTTAGTATTTTGCTGTACGAAAATTTTCGACTTTCTATAGCCGAGTTATTATTCGTCTTTCGATTGAATATAAAAAAAAGAGAGACGAATTCGAATAGAAAAGAACGTTAACCCTCGTTCGCGAGCGAGCGCGCGCGACTACGTTCGAATCATCGTCATTCGAATGATCCGCGGAGCCGTTGCATTTACGTTTCACGCGTCGAGAACTTGTTGCCGATAGGTCTCTCTGGCTGTGCATTTCTATAGCGTCGCGAGTCTCTACGTATTATAAATGTGAAGTCGTAATGCATCTATCGCACGCGACTCCGTGTAAGTGATTAACAGCTCATATAGCAGCGCAGCTCGTTAAACTCACTCCTGCGATACGTTTGCGAGTGTGCATAGTGTGCAGTGTGCTGTGTTTTCGTGCAAGTACGTTACATATAGTCAGTCCCTCGCGCGTCGCGAGGTAAACTCCGTTATAACTAAAGTTCCTGTGGCTCGTCTACCTGTACGTTATTGTATACCTTTAGTGTCAAGTGTGCAGTGTCTATTTTACAAGAATCACGTTTACGCCTCTGTGCATGAGCAACGATCATTATTAACTACTGACGGACAATCGGTCAAGACAAACGGACGAAATATTTTCAAACAATACTTGCAGCAACTCAGCCTGCGAATTACATTGTGAAAGTGCAACGGTCCGAGTTCGATTCGATTTTTTGAACGCGCCAGTTTAGTTCGATGGATTACACGAAGTGAGTGATTTGAAATTAAACAAACGAGCATCGAAGTTACTATATTATTGCAGTTTGGTGTCTGAAGCACGGTACTACATCGTCGAACGTCGAACATAGAGAGAATATTTCAAGTGAAATACGAACGAAAATTAGCTAGTTACCATCGTGGTCAATGTCATCATCGTGTCTGATGGGCGAGTGACGATTCGCCGCGGTTAATCGTGCATAAGGACAACGCTAACATAAGGTTAGTTCGAAAATTCGAAATTTTCATAAATCGCGAACATTCACTTTGCATGCATCGCATTCAACATTCTATGTACATAAATATTTCGCGTTCGCAAAAATCATTATCGTACTTACGAAGTAGCAATTCTATCTGCTCCCGGCGTTCGTCGAGTTTGAGGTTATCATTATTATTGTGCCCCGCTCTGCAGTCCATGATATAGATATCGTACGACGTTAATATTGAACTACCTGTGAAACAAACCCGCACGACGACGACGAAAACGAGAAAGAGAGACATCAGCTACGCGATATTACCACCCTATACAGCAAGATCAAAAAGCTTAACGAGCTCAGCCTACACAGGGTAGATATTTTTTCCTTTTTTTCTCGTTGCAACGTTCGACTGCTGCCGCATTAGCAGCAATAGCAGCAGTATAGCAGCAGAACGACTCGCACCGCACCGTGGGCTACCGCGATAAAAAGGGAGGGAAAAGAAAGTCGGCCTCGTCGTAGTACTATATCGAGTTGGTGCAGGCAACAGCAGCAGCGGCGTAGTACATTCATAATCTGCTTGATGTGGTCTTCTTATTATACACGTTTTATATACTAATTTCGTACGTTTACAAGTACACGGAAGTTGAAAGTAGTTTTCGCTGCTCGCGCATAAAAGACAAAAGAGCCGCTGCCGAGCTCGGCCGACCTGTAAGCAAATTGGTTTCATTTCTCCTCTGGACAGCTACTTCTACTACTATAGAGGGAGTAGGAGGAGGAGGAGGAGGAGGAGAGGATTTTCTTCGCGTAAAAAGCCATTTAGCAAATAGCATTTCAATTCACCTAACCGTGCGCGCGCGATAGTATATAAGAAGCACAAGGTAAGGAAGAAAAGAAAAAATCCGTATATAGCACGGCATCGCTGAAGAAAATTTTTCAAGCTCTCTCTCTCTCTCTTTCTTTCTCTGTGGCTTATATAATCCTCCTTTCGTTTGAAATACCGTTTAGGAACAGCAGTAGCGGCAGCAGTAGCAGCAGCAGCAAAGCCTCTCTCTCTCTCATAATTTTTTCGCTTTAAATAACAGTCCATAGAAATCCCGACTTTGACATCTTTTTCCTGTAACCCCTGGCCTCTCTTTCTCGCTCTCTCCTGCCACCAACTCGTTGCCGCGTACTTGTGTAGACATATATAGGCAGAAAAGTGAAGCAAGCGGCGCGGCACACGCACCCTATCGTGCACTGCTATTTCCTCGTCTGATGGTGTGCCTCTCTTCCTCTTTTTTTCACTCTCTCTCTTTCTCTCATTCCAATTCTACCCTGTTTCCTGCGTTATATACACGCACACACACTTCTCGGTCTTATTCTTTTCTTTATTCGATCTCTCTTTCTCCTCTTCATTCCTCATCTCTCTCTCTCTCTCTCTCTCTCTCTCTCTCCTTCTCTCGTTTGTCCCATTTGTCTCTCTTTCTCGTTTATATACCTTCTGGCCTTTTTTCAACGCTGATATACTTGCAAGTTTCCTTTTGCTGTTTTTTTTCCATATCATCGTTCTTTTGTGCGCGAAAACGGTTTCTCTCTCTTTCTCGTGCACTCGAGTTCAGATGGATATGATGGAGATAGAAAGCGCCCGGCTGCAAACCCATCCTCGAATTTTCATCCCCTTCAGCGTGAGTTCGAATAATTATCGATAACTCGTCTTCTTTATGCCGTTAAATTTCACGTGACGAACGTTTGAGAGACACGCTTTTGTCTGCTGCTCTCTGTGTGCAAACCCTCCAAGTGTCGATTTTTTTCTTTGATTTCTTTAAGGGACGACATACTGTCGAAATTAAATAACTCGGCTCCGATTTGTTGCAAAAAATAATTTTCACTTTTATCCCACAAAAGTTGTACTGAGTTGCGTTTGAAGTTCGTTGAAAATTCAGCTTCAACGAAAATTCATACCCGCCTGACCATCATTTTGTTGCATATCCAAATTATAACGCGAACATATTTCCAAATTAAGCGAAAAATGAAATGTTTTTCGGGCGGAAAAAACATTCAACACATAATACTCGAAAATTTCTTTCATGTTAAAGCCCCTCTTTTGTTGGTGATATACCCAATGGCAATGCCTCATACACACACACACACACAAAAGTACGTATAACAGGGCCTTCATCATCCACGAAAAAAGAAAGTTTCGCGAAACCACACGCTACATACACCCGTACACGAACGCATTGCGAAACTCACACGCATAGCGCACGTGTATTTATGTACGCCGAAAAGAAGAAAAAGGAAAAAAGCAGCAGAAATGCGAATCGTGAGCTGCTGGTGTTCTTCTGGCGCTGCTGCACCTGCTCTCAACGACTTGGCCGTTTTCTCGTAGTTGTCATCTCCATTTTTTTTGTGTGCGGGTACGTGTATATGTGTACATATTTTTTTTCTCGCTCTCTCTTCTCAGTTTTGTGCTCCTTCGTTCCCTTATATTCGCTTCTCTAACGACACATTCAGACGCGTCTATATATAAGTTGACTTCCACTTCAGAGAGTCAGTTTTTGACGTCGTAGTCGCTTTTTTTCTGCTTCTATATATAATACACACGGTTCGGAGGATGGTTCGAACTATGGCAATGTCTTGTATGTGTGCGCCAATTAAAGACGATCCGTTTTCTTCTGATTTTGTTTTGCTGGCGTTGTGTGTATGTGCCTTGTGTGTCGGCTGTGCGCTGGATTGCAACTGCCACCGCCGCCGACAGTACGAGACTTGCTCAAGGTGAGCCGGGGAAGAGAATAAGAGGATTATTACCTACGTGCGCATCGTGTGTAATAATACTTGGTATACACTCCTGAGGTATTTATTTTCTTTCCTTTTCTCTTTTTTTCGCTTCTTCTTTTTCTTCGCTTCGCCTAGTCTCGTTCGAAGTCAACATCTCATTTTTCCTATTCTTTGATACTTTACCGAAAAGAACGAAACGAAGCACAAAAACTCGGAGGATCTTTTCTTCTACTTCTTCTTCATGTACTTCTCTCTTAATAAAAGAAAATTCCGAGTGGAGGAATTATAAAATTTCGACTCAAGTAGTAAAAGTCAATAGCGTAGCCAGACGCGAGGTACTATATATATCTACTTTCACACTGACTTATATATAGTGCATGTCCGTCTGTGAGCGACAAAGTGACTCAAGTAAGCCATCATCAGCAACAAGTAGTGTATACGCTCGCCTGCACTGCTTATCCAGCAAACACACACACCCTGGACGTGAAGAAAAATTCGGCCACAGCCACCACCACCTCCTCCTCTTCTTCCTCCTTCCAGGCGTTATCGTCCATCGTCCGTCCGTCCGTCCGTCCACGTCGATACAGTGTCTTTCTTTATTTTTTTCTCTCTTCTTACTTCACGCGATCGAGTAGCTTCCTGGGCTATATGTACACTAGCTTATGCGAAACGGCAACACGTTGATTCGATTTGGCGCGACTCCCTCCTGTCAGCGTATTTTTCGTCGCTGCTTATATTCGCAAAGTTTGCTCGCATATACACACACGCAGACGTAATGACTCGGTACCTGCAGCGTGAATAGAATGTTACAAATGAACTGCGGTAATAATTGAAAAACGTGCCCAATTATGTCAGTCGCGTACGCGCAGCTGTTATTCGTCTTTTGTATCTTTTCGAATCGCTCGGATGTACAGCGATATATAATATTATTCTACCGAAATATGTTGCTCGCGCTACGGAGACTCGATGGTACAGCTATGAGCGCGTGTAACTCAATTAAAATTTGTCGTCGTACGCACACACGTACACGCCCCATTAAATTTCCTCCAAAAACTTTGCTCTACATGTGATACTCATAAACCATACATCCTTATATTTGAATTCTCAAAATTTCTGGTTCCTCGGTATACCTCCTGATATGATATATAAACGTTGGCGTACGAGGCGAGCGAGCAAATTAAATTCTCTAATTTTATGTATCTAAAATACTAGCGTAATGGTACGAAATATTTTTCATTTAAGTCCAAGGCAAGGTGCGCAGAGCCCCCCTCGTTCTTTCTTTCTCTTTCTCTTTCTTCGTATCTGTGCGGGTGTAAAAGAGAAGCCATGGCTCGCCTCTCGGAGGGTCTTACATACATTTATATGCTACACAGATATAGAGAGTGAGAGAGAAAGAGAAAAGCTAGGCGCGTACGGAGGCGAAGCAGCCATCCTTAACGTCCTTAATGAAAGAGGAAAAAGGGGAACGATGGTGGTAGTAGTGGTGGTGGTGGTGGTGGTGGCCTGCGCAGCTTCGGCCACGATACGGTGAGCGCGCGCGCGCGCTAAGTCTCGAAACTCTCTCCTCTCTCTCAGAGACGTGAAAAGGGCTTAGCAGGAGTCTTGCGGTCCTTTGTGTGGTATGGGTCAATGCTTGAACCGATGCTTTGCCACCGAACTGCTTTGATTTATCGGTTTCTCTCTCTCTCTCTCTTTTTTCTTCTCTTTTTTTTTATCCCGGTAGAAGTTTCTTTTTCCTCGTCCTCCTTTTCGCATCTCGATTAATACACACTTACCGCAGACACGCCGCACCGACTTTGCCACGGTGATTTTAATGTTTCGTATATACTTTGTATCATATACCAGTCCTTCGTTCCTTTGCATTTTCAGTTCGGAGCTCCTCCTGCAGCACTGCTACCCTGGCGGTGATGTAAAAGAAGCCCCTCTCGCTCTCCTCTAGTGAATGAGGAATCGCGTGTACTCGAGAGTTCGCTTGAAGCATTGTTATGGTTTTTAAGAAGGTGTGACGCGCTGGATATTCCTTCTACCCTCGCGCGAGCCAGAGTATGATGCAAGGCTCGTTGCGCGCCGTAAATATGAAGAGCTTCTTCGTGTGCAAGCTCAACGCTCGCGCTATGTTTTTCATTCGCACGCGCGATTGTATAACCGAGGATAATTCACGTTATTTTTCATTTGTTTCGGAAGAGAAAGGGAGAGAGAAAGAGAGACTTTGAAAGAAAAGAAAAACCTGAAATGAAGAGGGGGAGAAAAAAGTAATCCGCCAAAAAG